CTCCCTGGGTGGGTGTTTGCCTGCGTTCAGTTACCCCGTGTGGACAGAGTAGCCCTTTCAGTAGAAACGGAAAAAACAATAAATCCCCGAGGAGCAAAAGCTGGTTTTAGATATTGTTTGTGTGCCCTCATAAATTGTCACCTGCAGTTTGGAATCATAGAATCATGGAATGGTTTGGGTTGGAAGGGACCTTAATGCCCACCCAGTCCCACCCCCTGCCATGGGCAGGGACACCTTCCACTAGACCAGGTTGCCCCAAGCCTCGTCCAGCCTGGCCTTGGACACTTCCAGGGATGGGGCATCCACAGCTTCTCTGGGCAACCTGTCCCAGCCCCTCCCCACCCTCTCCAGGAAGAACTTCTTGATATCTAGTCTAAACCTCCCCACTTTCAATTTAAACCCGTTACCCCTTGTCCTGTCACTACAGGCCCTTGGAAAAAGTCCCCCCCAGCTTCCTTGTAGCCCCTTCAGGCACTGGAAGGCTGCAATAAGGTCTCCCCGGAGCCTTCTCTTCTCCAGGCTGAACACCCCCAACTCTCCCAGCCTGTCCCCATGGCAGAGGGGCTCCAGCCCTCGGAGCATCTTCTCTGGACTCGCTCCAACCAGTTTGTATCCTTCTGATGTTGTGGGTTCCACAGCTGGATGGATGAATTCGGACATCCAGTGTTGGTGCCAACAATTCCGAACCTGGGTTGTGTTCTGCTTGGGGTTCGTCAGGGAGGTCTTTGGTCTGTAGTCAGAGTTGGGTTCAGGAGATGAGAGATTGATAAGCAAAGTCCCCTGCAGGCATTTCCCATAAGGATTTCTGACAGTGGGACTGATGCTGGAAAAAAGAGGGACTCTGTGCTCCAGGGGAGCATGCTGGAAAGCAAGGCGGTGGTGCTTAGGAAAGCAGCTGCACACAAGCTCACGCAGGGGAAACACCGGGAGAGCTGCAGCGAGGGCAACTGTCTTGCCAAGAGAGGGGCGACTCAAGGGCCTGAAAACGTGGCTGATTAGAATTTCTAATTGAAAGAGGCAAAGACATGCAGCAGTCCTGCTGGGTTACCTGGCTGTGTTTATAAGCAGAAAACCCCCCGAGTTGCCTGGTGTTCACCACTGCGCTGCAAAGACCCGCAGTTTGCATTTTACATCTGGCTGCCAACCAGTGGGCAGCCACCAATCCAGGTTCTCGTTAGATGAGCCAAAATCTGCTCACTCCCTGCAGTGTCTCTACGTTCCTCTAATTCCTTGCCTCTTCCACCTTGGGAATACCCCAGAGCATCGGGAAAGCAGTACGTGTGGCACGTCAAGGCTTTGATCTCAGGGGAGAACGACGGCAAACTGGCCAATTCTACAAAGCTCTGCTGAGCTCCTGAATTTCATTACAGGCCATCACATGTCATTCGAAAGGGTCAGGGCTCTGCTGGTAGAGCTACGCTGATTGCGATGCTTCAGTGAGTGAGAAAGGGAGAATTAGGCTAATCGTCGAACTGCTCTTAGCAAGCTTTCAGCTCCAGTTCTACCCCAAACCTGTGACGGCTGTTGTGAATAACGACTGACAAGCAATCCACCTTTTAAGTCTTTATACACCAAGTGAAGGCTGGAATCTTCGTTACACAGCAACAGCCACTCTGCCATTACATCAACTCCACAGAAAATGGTTTTGAATAGTCATTGCAATGGCTAAAAAAAACCCCAAAACCAAACACCCCTCCCACTGAATTCTGAACATGAAGATTTCCCCCTGACATCCCTCACCTCATTCTCTTCCCTGGAAACAACAGCTCTTCCTTCCCCATCACCATTCCATCCTCTGGAGACAAGGCGAGGCCTTTTTGGACAGCAAAAGTCTTCCAAGTTTTCAGTCTTTTGGGGTTTTTCTTTTCAAACCGACTCAAATTCTCTCTGCCACGCTGTATACTTCTGGCTGAGATTCTTTGCTGATGGCTTGGTGTGGGCGATCACATCCAGGAAGTCTGCTGTTGTGATCGTGTCCAGTCGGATGATGGGCAAGGCACTGCTACCTAAAGAGAAGAGAATTGATTAAATACTGTTATGATTGCCAAAAGATGTTCTTTTATGTCCCTGCCTAATGCAACACTCGGTATACAAAACCAAAAGAATGAACCTAGTAAGAAAAAGGGAAATTGATATTTGTGCGCAGACATGGACAGCTTTTAAAAAAAAAAAAGCCTTAATTTTCAGAAATGTTAGGTTAGATGGATGTTTTGGAAATGTAGTTTAAAACTTTTCTAAGCAGATAACAGAGCTCCATCTGCTGGGGTTAACACTGTAATTCCTGGAGTTACAGCAGCAGATCCGCATTCCCCAGGTCGGATTCTCTGCTCAGACCTGTCGTACCTGGCTGGTGGTTTTCAAGAGCATCAA